ACTCTAATGACCGCTAGTTGATATGTAGTTGCAGAGTCACTTATCAACAGCTGTCTAAAGGGTACCATCAAAATAATCAAACCGATATTACAATAAAAATAGTTCAAAGCAAATGTGTCATATTACACATTCATCTGATCTGATATCTGATCTTATGGCTGTTTGAGAGAAAAAAATGTTATTATTATTATTATTATTATTATTATTATTACTACTTATAAGTGGTCTTTGACCGCTTTAAGTAAAGTAGCATAAGAAAAATGGCAAGATATGAGACTTATAATACATTATAACTATGAGAAATATAATCCATTGTAAAAGTGGATGCAACGTGTTCATTGTGTTATAAATCATCATACTCTTAAAAGCTATAACCACAAATAAGTAAATATTATAATATATTAAAACTGTTCTTATGAATATACATGAGATGATACAACATATTATAAGGTTTTTTATAATGCATTATGCATTCATTATAATGCCTTAAGAATACCCTTATAATGTATTATAAATACGGGCTTCATAGAAAGTGTTACCAATAATTATTTTGTTGTTGTTTTTCAATGATGTCATATTTACTCACCCCTATGTCCAGTGAAATGTAAACTTTACGTTACAACAAGTTGCTCTGTTGTACCTATATAGGCCAAGTGCACAGATAAATATGGTTGTCAATCTTCTTAACTGAGTTTGGAAAAATTATAGGGGTAAACCACATTCTGCAACCGAGTTTACTCCCGAAAAGTCAAGTAGTGACAGCACCATTTGTATAAACCTGCATTATGTGTACAGAACTGAAGTGAACGGCTAGTTGTTGGTGCAGTGACGTCACTCTGTTTTGACAGTACTCTTGTTTGTAGTTTACGGCGGCTGTAAGAAGTTAAAGCATTGCTATTGTTATCATGTCATTCATCAATCATTGTGAGAGACTCGTGTTCTGTACATACACGACCGTTAATTGATTCGATGCAAGATCCATTCTGCATTCAGCCTCAGTGACCACTACAACTTCCGGTGCAGGAAGTCTTGAGGAAGTGTCACACAACAAAACAAAGCAATATTTAAATGGTCCACCTTTAGGCTAAAGGTATTTAAAGCTTCTGGAACCCATTACTAAATCATAAAGTTTTAGTATAAAATACTAAACTGTTATGCTTGTTTAGCGCTGAGATTTTAGTTTCGGTTGTCACGCTTGCAGGTGCATGTGGTTCTTTTATCAATGCTCTATTTAAAAAATAAATAAATAAAGTAGCAGACATTGTGCCATTCTGTTCGCAAACTTTTATGTGTTTGATGATTTTACACATTTGTTTTACTAAACAAATTTAAAGGAAATCTATGACATGTATGTTATAGAACCAGTAATTGAATTTGTATTCAGGGAAGAGAAGAACTGCTGTCAGCTTAGGACCTTCAGGTCATCGGACCAGATCTTTATAACCACTCTTTCTAACACCGTAACACACAACAGAGCTACGCAATCCTGCACAATGCATCAATGTTTCAAATCTTATTAGATACCTTTTATCTTGAATATCTCATTTTCCCTGAAGCATACAGTATATTATTGAGAAATGATGAGTTTGAGTGTTCTGAGTTGAGTCGTAGATCAGACTTCCCAAAGCAGTGTATAGCGCTCAAGCTGTTACTTCACACCGTGAATATAGCTGTGGCCACGGCAGGCTGTTTCCCCTTGGATACATAAAACAGCAAGCTAATTACTGTGCTTAACCCATTCATAAATCATGTCAGCTCATATTGAACTAATGCTACATGAGATGCTGTGTCAACGTTTTCTTTTGCATGAGTGTGTTAACTAGACATGCAAAAACAAATGAATGCAATGCTTGCTATTAAGGGTCAGTAAATAAAAGCGTAATTGAAGGCCCAAGCACAGATAACAGTATTTAGGGAGTTTTTAGGGCCTTTATTTCATGAGTTGGCTTAATGGTTTAATGACATTGAACATTATAATGTGGTAATTTGGGTACAATCTTAATACTAGTAAAGAGGAAATGACTATATAGACTGCATGCAAACACACTGCATCTTAAATCGATGCCATTCTTTCTTTCTTTTTCTTTCTTTCTTTTTTTCTTTCTTTCTTTCTTTCTTTTTCTTTCTTTCTTTCTTTCTTTTTCTTTCTTTCTTTCTACAAATAATACTGCAGCTAAAGTTACCATATTCATTGAACAGATGATTTTCTCATCTGTTTTTCAAAGACAATATAGTAGGTAAACAAATAGTCTTTTAATTCAGTAACACTTTAGTATAGGGACCAGTTCTCACTAGTTGCTTATTAGCATGCCTATTATTAACATATTAGGTGTTCATTAGTACTTATAAAGCACATATTCTGCACGACCATATTCTACATCCCTAATCTTACCCAATACCTAAACTTAACAACTACCTTCCTAACTATTAATAAGCAGCAAACTAGGAGTTTATTGAGACAAAAGTCATAGATCATGGTTTGTTAATAGCGAGAATTGGACCTTAAAGTAAAGTGTGACCTTTCAAATTGGTTACTAAAGTGATTGTTCACTCCAAAATGAAAATTCTGTCATCATTTACTCACCCTCAAGTTGTTCAAACCTGTATGAGTTTCTTTCTTCTTTTGAAGACAAAAGAAAACAGACGCCAGTAACCAGTAACTTCCATAGTATTCTGTCAATGGCTACCAGCAACTGTTTGATTACCAACATTCTTCAAAATATCTTTATTTCTGTTCAACAGAAGAAAGAACAACTTGAGTAAATATGGTTTGAGGATGAGTAAATGATGACAGAATTTAAATTTTTGGCTGAATTATCCCTTTAATCTTGGGTAAAAGAAAAATGTGTGCATCCAGTGAAATCTATATGAACATATATTCATGGCAGGTACAAGGAAGTATCTAGACTCTGGTACAGAACACTAGTCCAGACCTGTTACAGTAGGAGTGAGCTAATCAGAGACAGATAGAAGGTAATAAAAGCAGTTTCACATGGCAATCATCATGTGAAGTCTCTATGCTAAAGAGATCTCTGAAGCTGTTTGAAACCAATTGGGGCTAATGTAGAAGAATATTGTCCGCAGGCAGAGACAGAGGAAATGTGGGGAGTAAAGAGACGTAAGGGAAAGAAAATAGAAAATACTCAGGAGGACAGGAGGAGATGGAAGGAAAGAGGAGTAAGAGAGAAAGATCTCACAGGGGAGCTGTGTTTTAGAGCATTGTTTACCTGAGATGGGTCGATGTGTGGGTGGTGAGGGGGCAGACTACTCTCTGAACCTATCTTTCCTTCATTCTCCATCTCACAAAGACAATGTTTTTTTTAACATTGTAAGCCTACGGCAGTGATTGCTATCCGCTGACCAAGACAGTCTTAGTCATCACCCAGTATACAACAGGACATCATTTTAAATCAGTTTTCAGATTGTGCCAAATGCCTGTTGGTATACTTTAAGTGGAGCAGAATATTTGTCTATAGTGTACAGAAAACATTTGTGAAAACTTTTATTCATATTTTAATTATCTGCAGTACTATGGTCTTAAATACTGCAGTTGACCAACCAGAATCATGCATTCAAGAGAGTTAAGATAAAGCAGTAAGTTATGTGAGGCAGTGTTTAATGAAAGTACAGTAAGTATGAATTCAGAGTCTAGAGAAAATATTCTTCCCCGCAGAAGCTGTTCAGCTGTAAAACATGAAACAATCATTCGAGAGGAAACCACAGGAGTGCCTCATGTTAAGTATTGTCAGTGATCACGAATTCACAAAATAAACATCATATGAAAAATTAATAAATCGTTAACCCTAGCCATATAACCCTAACCTTAAATAAATAAAAGAATCATGTCAGTACTATTTCAACAACTGTAAAATACTGAAAACCGAATACCACAAATAACACTGAATAAATATCAGCAAAATTATGCTTCGTGAACAAGCTTACAGTTCCAGTTCCTGAATCTGAATTGAATTTGATTTGAGGAAGCAAGCACTAAGCAAAATTGCTATTTAAATTTAAAATGAATTGATTTGAATAAATTTAAACTAGAAAAACAAGTTTGTCGAGACTTTGAATGTTGGCTTGGCAATACTTTGTTTAGAAGTTTAGATAGATAGACAGAGACAGACAGACAGACAGACAGACAGACAGACAGACAGATAGATAGATAGATAGATAGATAGATAGATAGATATACTCAAGTTAAGTCCTAACTTATTATTGCATCCCTCTTATTCTTTTTATTACCTAAATCAATCTAAAGAAAAAGAATATTTTAGGTGAAATTAATACAGGATTACAGGATTACTGCGACTTCAAAACCACAGTTAGCAAAGGCAGCAGTATGAAACTATTAATAAGATCAGTTGTAGCATTATCAGTGTTTCTGAGCTCTTTGGCCAAACTCTTTGCAATGTATGATAGTTTCACCTCTGAGGCATGAATTTGATTTGCCCAGTTTTTTTTTACAAACCTGTAGAAATTAAAAATCAGAGATAATGCTAATAACTGAACCAAGTGTAAGCAGCAGGATAGCAAGGATTTGGAGTATTACTGTAAAATATGCCAACACCTTCTTCAAAGATCCATACATGCCACATTTATAAACAGTACATTTGATTTTAGGAAGACACCACTGACATTTTCTTTTCTCAATCAGCAAGAACCACCTGATTCTGAAGCGTTCCTTCCTATCAGGATCTATATTAATCTGAGTTGAGACAGCTTGCAAATTGAAAGCAATGGAGAGAAGGTGAGCCACCGATATGACTGCTGCTGTGCTATCTAATTAAGCCCTGTGAGACTTCAGACAACCAAACAAGACCCAAATTACTCTACAGGTCACGTGCACATACCTTGCCATGAGTAATGCTGTACTCCACAAGCCGCATTGGCAATTATATGAAATACACAAAAAAAATATTTTTGTTTGCTTGTTTGTTGTTGTTGTTGTTTTTACAAATTAGTAATAATATATTCACAGAACATACAAAATGTGCAACTTTCAGGCTTTATTGGTGTATGTTTAAAAAAGGCAGAAATAACTAGATACACACGCTTCAGAAATAAGCCTTTTTGACAATATTACAAAGAAAAACCTTCACAGCTGTAAGTAAACAAGCCATTTTCTAGTATGGTTAAAAAATTTTGTGTCTTTCCCCAGTAACACAATTTATTAGTTATTGCTGTACAGCATGAACAGACATTCATGGCTTTGAAAATAACAGTACTTGATTAAAACTGCCTCAGTACACACCACTACCAATTAACAGCATACATTTTTATTAAGAAATAATACATATTGATAAAACATCAGCAAAAATTGACTATAACACATCAGAGTAGAAACTTTTTAATTACTAAAAATGTGTCTTTGTAGCTCTTCATTTCTATTTCCCTTTTAAATATAGGAACTATGATTTTCCACAGATTTGGTTCTCTGTTTTATATCGAAAACAAAACGAAACACATACATGCAGTAGTCGGAGTAAAATTAAAGCCATGCTGCCAGTTCTGAAAGGACATACCATATCTGCAGTTTTCTCTGAAATATTGATACAGTGCTTAAGACTGGATCAAAAGGCAGACTGGTGAAAACATGTTCTTTCACATTGGTGAATGAATAATTAAAAAATCTTTTTCCCTTCTTTTTCTCCCTTGTTTTTCTCTCTTTCCATTCTTGGTGCACTAGTCCGACCGGTTCTATGTTTCCTCATCAACCTGTCTCTTATTTGTCACCTCTATAGTTATGCTTTTAAGCATCTTTTACATATCATGTCAATCCTGAGTTTGTGCTCCATCATTTAATACAAAATGTATAAAGCACCAAATGGACGGCAAACACACAAACTTAAAAATGCCTCACTTTTATGTTTATAATGAATTATTTTCTTCATTAAAATTATATCAAAGTGCTGAAAACAGATGTGTGAGTAATCTAAACATAATTTTACAAATTAATGAAGAGGTCTGTTTAGTGTTTTAAAACATGAATAAATGTATTTCAGTTGGGTTTAATTATCCTATGAGTGATGTGTTTAGGCTCTCTCTCGATTTGTCTGTTTTCAATAACACAACAGTGCAGGGGAATGTCCTACAATATGCTTAAAACCATGAATTAAGTACAAAAGAGAATGTGATTGCTTTTTACACATTAAATCAGGATAATGAAAGATTACATGCATGGTGATGGATCACCAGATGATTAAATCATACGGTTGGTTAAATGCAGTTTGTTTTTAACTTTATCCTATATCCAGTAAAAACAGTAAAAAAAAGAAATAGAATGGAGAAAATAGTTACAATGAGCTGATGCGACTGCGACTTTTTAGTGGGTCATACTGACTTTGAATGCAACATGTCAAAGCAGAACATTTAAAAATAAACTTTCTATGTACTCTATTTAAAAAGAACAATTTGAGCATGTGTGACTATTTAATATGCATGTCTTTATATATCTCCTCAGTTTAAAAAAAAAATATATATATATATATATTTCAAATATTGTTAGAACCACACTCCAATCCGAGGAGCCATTCTTGGCATCCGCTTCTTTTTGGTGTCCGATTCCTTCAGCAATAGTTTCTTTCTCCTGGTGTCAAAAATCCCTACAAAAATGAAAGTGATTTACTATGAGGAAATTTGATGAGCTTTGACGTTCATTAATACCACAAAACAACAAAAAAGAACCAAAACAACTTGACTAATATTTGAAAACATCCTTCTAATTGTTATAGACATTAACTGTGGCTCACAGAAGAGAAGAATTCAATCACTTTAAAGCATTAACTCCACTGGAATTTCTTTGTTGGAACCCTTAATGGAAATTCATTTCCAGATACTACTGAGTGCTTGAACCAGTCAAAAGCAAGTTGTATTAGTTATAAAAGTTGCCTGCTGAAATAAATTTCATGAGCAAGCAGACGCCACCTCCGCCATGCTGACAAATCTTTAATATCTGACTCACTCATGCAACCTTGAAAAATACAAAACTGAATATCTTTATAAATCAACACTGCATGAAACTGCTCTGCTCCTCTGATCCTGGTCCCTATCCTACAGGCACAGCATCCAGCTGGGACACAAACCTCTGGCAAGTCCCAGATTCTGCAGGCCTCTGTCCTCCTCCTCCTCCTCCTCTGAAGGGTTCTGGGCCACATTTCGGAGGTAACGGTTATGTGGGGCAGCGCCAGTGAGGGCATTCTGTCTGCGGCTTTCCTCCAATGCATTGTCATCAGAAATACCTGTGAGCAAGACAAGACACAGCTCAGATTAATTTGCATGAAATGTTGATTAACTTTTTATGTATTTTTATTATTATTTCACTTTTGCTGATTTGTGCATGCACTTTGAATGCATAGCCTGATATAATTCAGTCTTTAGAATATAGACTGGCCACATTTTTGGAGTACACTCTTAAAAATAAAGGTGCTTCAAAAGGTTCTTCAAGCGATGCCATAGAAGAACCATTGTTGGTTCCGCAAAGAACCATTTAGTCAAAGGTTCTTTAAAGAACCATCTCTTTCTTACCTTTTTATAATCTGAAGAACCTTCTTTCGACACAAATAACCTTTTGTGAAACAGAAAGGTTCTTCAAATGTTAAAGGTTCTTTATGGAACCATTTAGACAAAAAGGTTCTTCTATAGGTAAGATAAGAGTATAGTATACACTAATAAGAGTGTATGGCAACATTCATAAATACTCATCATACTCATAAACATGTACAATTAATGTTACTCTGACTCTGTCAGTCTCCTTGCAGGTTTAATTTCACTTATTTATATAATGCATATCAGTGTCCCATATCTGTGTATTGACAATACATAATTGTGTATACACTATACACTTTTACTGTGTTCTATCTAGTGTACGAATTTGATAAGTTTATTTTGGGGTCTGATAGCCCTATCCTCTCCACTATGAAAGAAAAGTTGTGACTGTTGAGGTTTGAAGTGCATTTCTGTGGCTGGTTAGTAGTACAGACAAACCCAAACAGAAGGAAGCTTGATGTTGCGTTTGCTGGAACGCAGTGTTTGTGTAAGCACAGGCTCTGCTGTGATCTTTGGGCATTTATGAATTTATTTCGAATCTGACATCATCCAGTTCGCTTCAGGGCATCAGTTCCTTCTCATATTTTTCTGCATTGCTTATGAGAAAAAGTAGACAGAGGGCTTAAACGCAAATAGAAAAACATCATTTTTGTATGACATCAGTGTAAGAACAAGACAAAACTATGCAAAGTGTACTCCATCTTAATAATCTGTGATGATAATATTCAATGCACAATCAATCATTTAGTCAACCTTCATGAATTATGTTAATTTAATCACTGCAACTTATTGTACCGCATAAAACAGACAAATGATATGGAACATTAGCAGTTTATAATAAATAAATTGGGTTTAATGTTTCATTCATGTGAAATATCTGTCAGTGCTCACCTAGAAACATAAAACAAACATGATCAGGTTGGTTATTATTGAATTCCTGTCATGTCCAAAAAGCATACAAATCAGGAATATTGCTTGTTTTGGAAAGACACAATCATTATAATAGTTATACTCTTATAGTGCTTTAACATTCTTTTCTACGTTCCTTCCTCCTGAAAGCTTGTTTAATGCCAAACTACCTCTAGTCAGAGCTGATTGCATTTATGTATTCCGCTTGAACAGCTTCTGCTTCTAGACAAATGTTGTGAGATTTAAACTAAAAATCTGACATTTAAAATAAAAAGTAAATAAAAAATACTTAACTTGTTTCAGCTGACCTTATTCTTTTGCCACTTCACTGCTTAATTCCCTACATTATATTACAAAACAAGTTGATTCCAAAGTTATATGATATAAAACGGTATTAAGGTTGTTCTATATTGGATTTACCCTGACTTATTTCATTTTGATTTGAAAATGTGTTCTTCATTTCACTGATAATACTCTTGTGTGGTTGCAGTGTGCTTCTTTTATTATTATTATTTTTCACAAAATCTTCATTTTTAGTTTGTTCTTATTTGGTTTCACACAGAAGTCAAACTTTTGACTATCATTATAAAGTCTGGTCACATTTGAAGTTTATTCTGACCACTAATCATCCAGGTAGACAGAAAGAGACAGTCTGGCTGAGAAATAAAGTGATCATTTACCATTTGTTTTGCTTCATACAATAATAACAGTGCTATTAAAAAATGGAAATGAGCTGAAAATGTATAAATAAATTGTGATAAGAAAGTCAAAATTATAAGAAGTAATGTACTGATTATTTCACAGACAAACAAAAGCAGAATCCGTTTTCTTATATCTTATATATATATCTTACTATCAACTGCCTCTAACTCTGATGTCTTTTAAAGATTTGAATCCATGAAGCTTAAATAGGCCTACTTCTGCAAATCCAGTGATTAATTGTTCTTGTTGCAGCTCAAATATCAAAGCAACCACAAATTACGTTTATTTCTTAGCAACTTAGGCTGCGTTTACACTTGGCATTAACATGCGACCGGTATCCGGATGTTGTCCACATACACATTGAAAAGACAAGTGTAAACGCGCTTCTGATCGGAATGTTATCCGATCAGCGTGTCCTGGTCCAGAGGTAGTCGAGGACGCATTGTGATCGGATCTCAGTGTAATGTAAACGCAATCCAGCCATCGAATCTGCATTCGCAGGTCGACATCACGCAAAATGCTGCCCCCTCTCTCCCGATCTGTCGGAAGAACAGAGTGCTAATGAGACTCGTACATTTATTTTGATTTGTAAAATGCCCTGCGACTGAAAATAGTTTTCAAAAGAAAACCCACCATGTCAGGTTGACTTTGCACCGCAGACTTATTTAAATATTGTGCGGGAAATACAGATCCGATCGGTTATCCAGATCGAGAAGTCAGCTGATGTTGCCAAGTGTAAACGCGCCGTGTCCTTCTCGCGAACTGTCAGAAAAAAAACGGAGAACACCCGTGTGGAGACTAGTGAGACTCCTGCACTTAACTTTGGTTTGTAAAATGTCCCGCGACTGAAAATGCTTTTCAAAAGAAAACCCACCACTTCAGGTTGACTTTGCACCGGGCCATTCTCTGCAGACTTATTTAAATATTGCGCTGGAAAGATAGATCCGATCGGTTATCCAGATAGAAAATCAGTTGATGTTGCCAAGTGTAAACGCGCCGTGTTCTGATTGGCTGATGATCCGATCTGCTTGATCAGATCTCGGAGATCGCATGTTAATGCCAAGTGTAAACGCAGCTGTAGCAAGGTGACATTTTCATTTGGGATTAAGTAGCAGAACTGGTAACGCTACCATATTGCAACCCGACCTCTCAGTTACTTTGGGTAACAGGAGGCCTAGGCTATATTCACCAGATTGTAAATGTTGTCCCCAATAACAGTCTTAAACAGTAATTCATATCACACATAACCTGCCATTTACAGACACTTGTGCATCACCCCACAAACACACAAAGGTGTATGAGAAGACCGTAAAAGAAAAAGTTTAAATAGCTCCTAAAGCACTCCTTGCCTGACACCCACCCACCACCCCCTTTCCCCATAATCGCCATGCATTCATCCATATTTCATGTGGAACGCGTTTATTGTGATTAGTCATGTAAATAGATTGAGATTTCTTTATTCTTTTCGCGTGTTAATTTACATTTATATTGAATTAGCGTACGGAATAGGGGCTCGGAAGGGAGAAAAGAGAGGCTGATTATGCGTGCAGATTATGGACACACCTCATGGCTATTGTGTTGTGTAATTAAAGGGGAAAGAGGAGAAGAAAAGGGACAGATGCTGCTTCTCAAACTATCGGACCTTTTTTCATCTCCGGAAAAGGCCTGCGTCTGCTGCAACACCCTCCTCCACCTACCAACAACCCCCCAAAGAAAAGATGAAAAATAGAATACATTTAGAAGACAAGCCACAAGCCTTTACCACATCTCTTGTTGTCTGACGGACCCTCTTATTTGAGCTTGCAGAAAAGAATCACCGTGACCCAAACCACAACAACAGCTGCCTAAGGTGACACTGGGAAATGTCACTGTTTGTACTATGGATCCTCTAAAAGCTTTTAACATCAACAAGTTAATTACTTTAAATGATAACATAGGCAGAACAATATAAGGGATATATGCAATCCTGGAGCACAAAACCAGTCTTAAGTTGCACAGGTATATTTGTAGCAATAGCCAACAATACATTGCATGGGTCAAAATTATTTAAATAATAATTTTGTATTAAATTAATAATTTGTAATTTAATTAAATAATAATTACATTTTTCTTTTATGCCAAAAATCATTAGGGTATTAAGTAAAGACCATATTTCATGAAGATATTTAGTAAATTTCCTACCGTAAATATAGCCTATCAAAACGTAATTTTTGATTAGTAATATGCATTGCTAAGGACTTAATTTGGACAACTTTAAAGGCGATTTTCTCAAAATATATATATTTTTTTTCACCCTCAGATTCCAGATTTTCAAATTATTGTATCTCAGCCAAATATTATCCTATCTTAAACTATACATCAATGGATAGCTTATTTATTCAGCTTTCATGCTTTTGCTGATGTATAAATCTCAATAAAAAAAGGCCCTTATAACTGGTTTTGTGGTCCAGGGTAACATATATTAAAAGAAAGAAAATTGTGTCATCATTTACTCACCCTCATGTCATTCCAAACCCATGTGATGTGTGATTTCTTTAAAAGAAAATCTTTTGAAAAATATTGGTAGCACATATTTAATAATAATAATAATAATAATGGTTGTTATTATTATTATTAGGCCTATTATTATTATCTTTTGTGTTCAGAAGAAGAAAGAATGCCATACAGGTTTGGAACAACATGAGGGTGTATTTTTTTATGTCATAACTATAACTTTTATATGTATACAACTATACTATACTCTTTTTATTTGGATAATCTTGGATTATTACCATTCAATGTTGTGGAAAAGAGGACCATTTCAATAAGATAGTTGGTTGCTAAATATTAATTCTTCTGAATGTAGATAGCCTACCTTGTTAGCTGTTGCAGTTTCAGTCACGTAGCCTACATTTATGTATATCTGTAAATGTCTGCTGCATGATGTTTTACACAGAGAAAAGTTCATGTGTTGGATAATACATACATCAAGATGGATATTTAGTTTCTTATTGTCAAAAGACATGACTCCTATATATAACTTGGGACAGGAACTTCAAACTAGCATGTGAGCAAAGGACCTCCTTCAGACTTTCTAGTATAG